TGATTAGTGTCACACTCCGTTTAAAACATTCACGCCCTGCAACATTTGGGCTGATTTCTCCACAGTATTCTAACTTTTTTGAATTCCTGTTTTTGTAGGTTTCATGAGCTGGAAGCCCAAATTATGTAAAAATAAACAAATAAATACTTGAAATTGTTTAAATTGTGGGCCCTTAAGTCACACGAAGAATTGGCAATTATTTTTACGCTGGATGCCCTTCCTGACTCAACCACACACCACTGAACTACCACAGCCCTCTGTGTGGAGCAGAGAGCTGCCATATAGGGTGCCCAGGGGAGCAGAGTGGGGCAAATGAGGGTGGAGGCAGGTGTGGGTGCTGCACCTATCCCACCCACATTCTGATGTTGTTGGTCAAGGGGTTTGAACCGGCGACCTTCCAATTACAGGCTCACCTTCTCTAGCCTCTGCGCCACCACTCCTCCAAATTGAATATATATATTTGCATATAAAACAAATATTAAATAAAAGCCTATATGCAACTATTTATTTGTGCTAACTTTATGGGCCTTCTCTGAAGGCATAGAAGGCCCTGAGGGTTCTACAAACCAATATAAGATTTGATGATAAGGTACGATACTTTATGATATGACGACGACATTATTAGCCGTGGACTCCCAATAGATGCCTTCAGGTACACAAAACAAACTTGACGCCGTGCTTTGATGTAGCTTTTGTCATTTCTTGAGGCAGCCTTGGGTCATAAACATATTCACAGTTTAACTACCCAACTTTAATAAATAATAAATAAACAAGAGTTCTGAAAGTGCCACTTTTTAAGAGCAGTGCTGACAGATGTGCTGGTCAGTCCGAAAAGAAAATCGGACGCAGCGATAAATACAAACACAAAGGTTGAGCTTACCGCCGATTGTTAGCACCTCCACGGCCTCCTCCACGTCTTCCCCCACGGACGGCTGTTGCCCCATCCCGAACCTTCACGTGCGCCTCACAGCCTCTACCGCAGCACAAATAAACCAAATAAGACTCAACGGGTTCAGGTGAGTTGGAGGGAGCCACGCCGAAGCAGTGAGCAGAGGAGAAATGAGAGTGATGCTTCAGCAGAGGGAGAGGAAGGAAGGGCTGAAGACACGTCTGTTGCATAACAGTTAACATCATTTCTGACGTTACGTTGATCTGTTCAGTAAACTGAGGGTCATTTTGACCCAAGGGCAGCAGCAGGAGGGTCCAAGTTCTTACATAAGTAAGTTTGAGCCAATTACTTTGGTTATATTAAAAACAAAATGACTTTATACCCAGTTTTTGTGCCCTCACACACACCTGGTGACTGGAAGAACAGCCAGCGCCAATTAGTCCAATTATCCATCAATTTATTGACAGGGGGCTCCTTTCACTCCTTTGACAACACAACAGCCTGCTGGACCGTCATACGGACAAAGATCTTGCGACGCGGCGTTATGTGCGTCTAAATAAAGACGGAGGCGAGCTTCACTGCAATGTGACACTTCTAACAGCCGAGTTTTAAAGTGGGGCCTGGGGAAGTCCAGCGGACACAGAAAGAAAGGGATCAGCACTTTTTAAAAGCATCATTTTTAGGCCTGTCACGACAGCAAATTTTGCGAGGCCATTAATCGTCTCAGAAATTATTGCGATAAACGATAGTATTGTTAGAAATTTGACAATAATTAGTAATTATTGTCAACTTTAAGAAGAAATGTTGGTTGATTTGTTTTGAGTGTAGTGCCTTTTTTTGACCACTAGATGGCAGTATAAGATGGTTGAGCCGAAGGATGGATAGTGAGAGAGCGAGCAGCGTGTCTCTTTAAGGAAAATGGGAGGGAGGCCCCTTGACGTGACATGAGCTGTCTCTTCAGTTCTCAAAATGGTGGACACTTGGTGTGGTTTGAGCTCTTTAGCATAGCATTTTCACACAAAGCTTAGCGCATAGTTTAGCTTCTCAGCTTTGCTGCTTTTAACGATCCAAAAACGTGATTTTGGATCGTTAAAACAGATTTTAAAGAGAAAGGGAGGGGTCAGTGAAGAGCACCGGAGTTGAACCTTTTTGTCATCCAGTGTCTTCAGTAGAAAGAGAGAGACACGAAGAAACGATAAAAGTGATAAATGAAAATGAGGTCGATAATTGTCATTTATCATGCGATTAATTGATTTATTGTTGATTGCGACAGGTCTAATCATTTTCACCAGAAAGGGGAATAAAATAAGCTTCAGCTTGCCTCAAATGTGGCCTTCTGGGCTTTGCTATGGTTTACCTGCATGCAAATGTAAAACATGACAATGAATAATGAAAATAACTAGCGATGCACAATATTATCGGCATGGTATCGGCTGATATTAGAGATAAAAATAAATATAAAGATAAATATCGGACATTCCATCAAAATAACTCACCGATATAAAAGGCGCTATATATACATATGTATATATATATATATGTGTGTGTGTACAGGCGCTGTTTTTGTATGACAACCCAGTGACAAGGATGCCTGCAGCGCCAGTACAACGTGATGACATCACACGCGCCATTGAGTTCAGATTTGTGAAAATGTGCAAATTTGCACTGTTCGAGTGTTGTCATTGTGTTAGAGAGAGTAAATGTCACGAATAAATTTGACATTAAACATAATCCAAATTTAAGTGTTACATCATTTTCAGCCATGCAGAATGTAGTATTTTAATTCCACAGCAGAGAAAGCTATGTAGTCCCTGTAGGTAGGTCCAGAGCACTCCGCCCCCGACTCCGCCCCCGACCAATCAGTGACCGACAGTGTTCTGACGTCACGTTTTTGTACCTCTTCTTACAGGTTAGAACCACAGAGCCAAGGGTACTGAAAATAGTAACAAGTGCTAAGTACCGGTACTAATGGAAAAGCCTCAGAACCGGGCCAAGTAGGGTACAGTCGCCCGTAGCGGTACTGATGGAAAAGGGGCATATGGCTGAGTAGGTCTGGGGAGGGATATCGGTATTGGTATCGGTTATCGGCCAAATAAGTTTGAACATATCGGATATCGGCCAAAAATCCAATATTGTGCATCCCTAAAAACAACAGTAAGTAGGTTTTCGTGCTATGTTGCACAAGATGATTGGGCTGGAAAACGTTACAAGCTGTTGTACAAAATTTATAAAACTAGTTATGAGAGAGAAAACACCTTTACATAGCTTTGATTCAGCTAATTGGACACACCTCTCATAGAGAAATACTTCAAAAAGTTAATTGGATTTTAATGCCATCTTCATCTTCATTCCTCATTTAGAAAATCGGCACACTTGCTCAAAAACATGTATATCCAGAAGAAAAAAAAAAACTCCCATTTTCACAGCACTTATTTTTCTTTCATTTAAAAAGATAAAATGCAGTGATTTACTAAATATATGGAAATAGTTTTCACATGTGTACGCCGAATTGTCTTCCTGACGGCTAAGATTAGGAAACACCAGAAATTTAGTAGTTATGAGCGCGCGCTTTTAAGTTAGATGAACTTTAAGTTTATTTTAGAAATTGAAAATGGAGTTTGGCCTGCGAGAAGTGAACGTGAAGTTTCGGCCTTAAGGATAGAGATGCGCTGCCTCTGTGCGTCCAAACGGGAAACTACACAAATAAAGACGTATAGTTTTGTATTTGATCGCTCTGTAACTTTACAGTAATGAAATTTTTATTTTTTTACTAGCTTTAAAACGCGTTTCTCACCTGCTCTTTTGTCCAAGTACTAAGCTCCGCCCACCGCCTTACCAATTACCTTCATCTCTTGAAGTTTTCTCGTCTCCTCGCAGATTTTTCCTCAATCTTTGCATCACGCCTTCTTCAAATGAAGCTTTGGTGATATGATTAATAAATATCAGTGCATAAAATATTTGTTTTATACGCATTTACGTGCAGAAACACAAAGAAAACCTAGCTTAGGGTGGGCGTTTTGATGTAAATATTATTTATAAATCAACTGCTATTGTAAATAATTCATACTGGCACAATTTCACAGTTATTGTAGAATAAAAACGTACATAAATTACATTTTATGAAATAAAATCACACAGTATTAATAATAATGTGCCAGTAGGGGGCGCTGGAGGACCATAATCTTATCCTTGCAGTCAAAATGACTTTACTCAGCAACAAGTGGACTGTAAGTTAAAGTACGTTATTGAAAACTGATGTTTTTGTTGTACTGATTAAATACTTCCTCAAACCCATGACATATGTTCTAAACGTCTGGAAAACATGCATCCAAGTTCTTGGTAGTGCATAGAGATTAGGAGTTTAAAACTTTTGCACAGAGCATGCGCCACTTGAATCAACGCAACACCTATTTACATGCATATGCGTGTGCGTGCGTTTGCCTCTATGTAGCACGAACAAAACTGGAAATTGAAAACTCAAATACAGATGCAGCACAACCCGGACATGCTAACTACATACGACTGAAGATATTCTTTTAGCACACGTACAGCCTCTTCTGAGCCAGTTGCATGTTCAGTCTTGCACAGATTAAAAACACCCCCTCAATATATTTGATGGCATCCAACAAACCCCCCCACATTAGTCTCCCTGACTACTGACAGCCATGTTGAACAGCTCAGGTCATCAAGTTGTTTACAGTAAGTAAACACACAGCCGGAAGTGAAGGACGTTACTTCAGAATAAAATAAAGAAAACATAAATGCTTAGCGTTAAGTATCTATTTTAGGCTATAATGGATTTTTCAACGTTTATAATTATATTAAGCATTTTTAGCCATATGTTATTAGAGATAATCTTTCTTTTGTGTATTTTAATCCCCCTAAATCATGATGGATTTTTTTTATTTTGTAAGTCTAAACCGGAACTGGTAACATTTTATACCGCCGGGATCCACGCTCGCGCTCCAAATCGCCTTATGGCAGTTTAGACTCGGAACGGCTTCTTCTCTCACGTCCGCGTGCGTTTGTTTCGACAAAACGAAGGGAATTTTTCATCGTGACTTCTTTTTTTAAATATATATTTCAAGGTTTGAGTCGCTGCTATCTGTTTGAGCCCCTCCCGGTGAGTTGCTTCTTCCTCCTAAAAAGAAAAAAAAAAAGATAAATGAAAAGATGAGCTTCTCTTTTAAGTTTGACGCCGCAGCGGATTTCCTCGTGTTTTCGCGCTTCGCCTCCTCGTTGAAACGTACAAAAGTTACGTTTTTGTTTTATTTCGGGGAGTTAATTTTAGTCTGGAAATGCTGACACGCAAACAACACTTTTTAAGGCGTTACAACTCGAGCCAAACCTCCGCTCGTCCCGTTATGTGGACTACACCCACTAGCTTCAAAATGTCAGCCTCGGAACTTCTGCGACTTTTTTATTTTTTTAATTTTAATTAATACTTACACAAATTTACGTTTTATTTTAGTTTCACTACTTTTGCTGTACGTTTAGTTAACGGAGCAATTTGTCTCGGATAGTTATTTTGGTTAAATTGTGGTTAAATTTCAGTAAACCGGAAGTCGTATCGGCGCGGAAATTGGAAAATTGATTGCTAACAAGCTACATGCTAACAAGCTACATGCTAACATGCTACAAAACACTGCAGCGCCGCTTAATCATCATTTAACGTTTATTTTTATGCTACATTTTGTTATTTCTTTAACATTTTTTAAGTTTAAATATTTTCTGTTTGCAGCTGGGACATTTTGAGTAATTTTTCTCTTTTGCACATTTTAGACATTTCATGCTAACAGATACATATTTTAATATTCATATTAATGATGGAGCTAAATTTAGTGTTTTTGCAGCATTTCCATAAAAAAGATTGAACATTAGGTAAAACCACATCTTGCAAATGCATAAAAAGTTATTTTTATATGCTTTTTTGTAATATAAACATTTGAAAATGTATAAAGTGTGTTAAAAAATTGCTTTAATTACCAGAAGAAACTCGCCAAGATTAAAAAAGCTTGTTTACAATTGTGTGGCAGCAACACAAAGTTTCACTAAACAACTAATTTTAGCATTTAAAATGATACAAACCAGAAAACATATTTCTTCAATTAGGGCCCATTTAATAAAATAACTTTGACAACAACAGCTAACATTTAAATGAACTAAACAAAAAGAAATCTTCCTTTAGGTGCAGACGAGTCATTTTTGTGATTTTTCTCCAGTTAATTTATATTAACGAGGAGATCGAGTTCAAGTCAGTTCTATCGTCATCAAAGTTCATGCTCAATCATCCACGTGCAAAATCCAATAATGGTCTGTCAGGTCATCTGGACAGTTTCTTTTTTGTGGAAAGATGTTTCGCCCTCTATCCAGAGGGCTTCATCAGTCTGAGGAGTCCCAAGTAAACTGTTCTCCCCACTAGGCAGTACACTCCGTTAGTGGACCAACCAGTTTGTTGGTGATAAGATGGTTTGCAGCCCTCTGTGTGGAGCAGAGAGCTGTCGACTAGGGCACCCGATGGAGCAGATGGTGGGAGTTGAGGGCCTTGCTTAAGGGCCCAGAGTGCAGCAAAGGAGGGTGGAGGCTTCACCTTTTTTGATGGTGGTAAAACCGGTGACCTTCTGATCACAGGCTCACCTTCTCTAACCTTTGCGCCCACCTCCCATTAACTATAAAACTTCTAGTATAAATCATAAATATTTTTGCCAAAATATTTGTCAGTCAGGACAAATTGGTCTCCAACCAACCACACCAGGAAAAAATAATTACTGACGAGCGTTTCTCTTTGCAGCTAAAAGGAAACTTGTTTTAGCTGCTTGCTGTAAAATTACTGTACAATTTTCTTTTCAAGCAGGATTAGATTAAATTTAGACCCCACTGGCACCCACGGGTGTCTGATGTGACAGTTTAGCTGGTTAAATGCAACGCAGTAAAACTTTAGCTACAAACTGTGTGCAGATTATGAACTTAATGCGATCGTTAAATTCTTCTGTAATGTCTGAACCATCAACATAATATTTACTTTTGTCTGCACCTCTACACTCAATATAAAACGTGTAAATAGTGTAAATATAAAGTGCAATAGTTAAGTAAAGTGGTGCAAGGTCAGGTTGAAAACAGCAACATTTTTGTTTGGCTCTCACCGGCAGAGTTTGAAACATCATTTACTTTTTAATTTTTCTTCGCATTAGATTTTCCCTGATATTCTTAAACAATTTGTAAATGAGGCATCTGTAAGCGTTTTAACTGATATATATATATATA